TATATATATATATATGTCTCCTAGATTTTCAATCATGTTCAGGGATGCAATTCAATAAAAGTAAATGTCATATCCTCTTCAGCACCCAATTGAAGACCCTTATCAAGATCTGGATCTCTGATTACACTGGTTTTAGCAGCTGCATCTCCCCATCAAATACTTGGGTATACAATTGCTTAAAGGCAGGGTTAGACTGACCCAGTTTGATGAGATTCTATTCAAAATTAATGACAAATTGAGCTATTGGACCAACTCTTTCCTATCTAATGGTGGAAGGATCACATTACTGAGGAATGTGTTGTCTATATTTCCTACTTATACCTTGCAAATGGTTGTGCTGAAGAAAAAGTACTTAGCTTTTTTTAGAAAGATGCTTTAACATATTCTTGTGGTCTTGGCAAAGGCAACAGGTTCATTAGGTCAGTTGACAAAAGATCTATAAGCCCCATGTGGCTGAGGGTCTGGGTTTCAAGAGCTTTCAACACCTGAAATTCTTCAGCTTTTGCAAACTGTGGGTCAAATTCAGATAGCAATCCTCTATATGGGCCAGATTTATGTTGGGGAAATACTGTAAAGACAAACATCCCTCTTTAGTATCTAAGAAGTTGGGTGATTCTAAAATTTGGTCAAATATGTTGAAGGTGAGATCCAAAGTTGAAGATCTTTTCAGTTGGGAGTTGGGAGAAGGTGTTATCAAATTTTAACTGGATAATTGGTCCCTAAGGAGGAACTAGCAACATGCTTCACCCCTCCCCCCTAACTTACACCTCCAGGTGGTTGACTGCTGGGTTAATGATCACTGGAATTCTCAAGCTCTACAACACATCTTGGACTCTTCACAAATCCATAAGGTTTTACAAACCTTTTATGACAGTCTAAAAAAGATAAAGTCATTCTTAAAAAGACCTCTTCTTAAAGCCTATCTTCTTACATTTTTTCTCAGTGTGTTCAAGACCAGCTTGTGCCCTAGGGTAAACCCATTTGGGGGAAACTTTTGTCCCCTCCATGTCCTTTTTTTTTTGTTGGAGGCTTTTCTTAAAGTGTTACCTTTAGATGACATTCTGAAACTCAAAGATTTGAGAGGACTTTCTTGTTGTCTGCTATGTAGAAGGGAGAAAGAGAAACTTCATCATTTATTTTTCAATTGCCCTTTTGTCCAAGAGGTTTGGGATTTGGTCTTGTACCACCTTAAGCTTGATACATTTTAGCTATCCTGGTATGATTTTCACCTCTGCTGGCAAGACTGGCATTAAGTACATTTATCTCCTATCCCTTGCATTGTAGCTTGGTTTGTTTGGATGGCAAAGAACCAAAGAAAACTTGATGAGAAGAGACTATCCCCTTGTTATGTTTCTAACAATTATCTAATGTTCCTATCTAAACTAATTAAACTCAATAGTTTCCCAACTATTTGCACCTTACATAATTGTCATAAACCAGTGAGTTCCAAAGTCTCTTTAGTTTATTTGCAGAGACCTTCCCCTGGTTGTGTAAATGTCAATACTGATGGTAGCTTCCTAAATCAGGATGCTGAGCCTACTATATTTCCAGTCACTGTCTTAGCTTTTGATTCTTTGGAGGATGAATGCAATGCAGTTTTTTGGGTTGTCCTTATTGCCTCTAAGGGCCATTGTAATAACCTCATGGTGGAATCTGATTCACAATTGTTGGTCAACATCCTAACTAAGCAACAAGACTACCCTTGGTACCTGTTGTTCTGGACTAAACACATCCTCCTCCTGACTGCTAACATCAGCTTCAGAGTTCTTTATGTACACAGGGAAGTAAATAGGTCAGCAAACAGATTGGCTAGAGCAGGTTTACTTAATCAAAAGTATGTTATTAGTAAATTTTGTAATCCTTCTTTTGCTTTCCTCTTAGATGGGAAAAATTATTCGGTCCGACGACCGCATGTTCTCTGCATGCGGTAGCGAATGGAAAATTAACACGTGTAATGGTGGGCCCTCAGTGAAGAGAAATAAGCAGAATGCGTGACCCGACCCGAACTCCGCCCAATAACCGGAAAAAGCGTATATTTGTGCTTATGGAATCCCGCCAAATTTAGCATTTGGACATTTTCGATCCCGCCAAAGATTATTAGTGTCTTATGGATGTAGATTTTTTTTATTTTCTCGTCTGTTAGTAGTTGACGAGTAGGGCAGAGCTCGTCTGTTAGTATTCGATTAGTATGGCAGAGTTCTTATTCTGTGTCGAGACCACATTAAATGGATTTCTCATTCGACCAAGAAATGTTGATGGAATCTGAGAATGATGATGATCAGCTTGGATCATTAGCTGAGTCCGGAAGTATTCCTCAGGTAGAGTTCTTTCTTATGTTCTGTGTGCTGCGATTAATGGCTTCCAAATGATAGTATTGCTGGGCTTGGATGGTTTGATTATTATATTATTTGATTGTTAAGTTAATTTGTAAGTGTTATCATCGTGTTTAAGTTGTCGTAATGGTATTATCTTTCTGGTATTATTGTGGTTGATATTGTTTTTTTCTGATATCATTTGGGTCTTATTTAGGTTTTATCATGGGTTTATTATGGTGTTATTATGATTGTATTATGGTAGTATTTATGAAATATAGGCTTTCAAGAGTGTGTGTGTTATTATGGTATTATTACTGTAGTATTATGGTTATATTACATATGATGGTGTTATTTATTGTTGTATCTAATTAGTGTTTTTAACAGTGTTATGTTAAAGTGTTATTTTGGTGTTATAATTGTTTTATTATGCTAGTATTTTTTTATTTTTATTTTTGAAGTATACTTTTGTGTTATTATGGTATTATTTTTGTGGTATTATGATTGAATTATGTATTATGTTGTTATTGATTTATCATTTCGTACCAGCATGATTGTATTTACTAATTGGTTACGTTGAAGTGTTCTTTTGTCAATCTAATGGTGGAATGTTTGAAAGTTGCAGCTCCCCAAGCCTTTAACTGTGTGCATTGATCCAAATGCGGATAGTTTGCTTTGCACGGTGGTTCATAATGAGAAGGAAGCCTACGAAAATTATTGTGCATATGCACACCATATTGGATTCACTATGCGAAAGGACCATGTTGGTTTTTGGCCTAATTCAAAAATGATTAAGACAAAGGATTTCATTTGTGGCAAGGTTGGTTTCAAGAAAGAATTGAATAACAATGTTGCGGTGAAGTACAGAAGAGGGGACACAAGGACTGGTTGTCCAGTCATGATCCGATATGTCGTCGATGTAGAAGGTAACTGGTCGGTTAAGAAATTTATAAAAACTCATAACCATCCTTTGGCGGCAGACGGTGACAAACATCTATTGCGTTCCAGCAGAAAAATGGGTGATGTCAGTGCACAAGTGCTCAAATCGATGACAAAATCAGGGATCAAAACAAGCGATGCCTTTAGTTTTCTGGCTACAGAATTTGGGGGTGTTGAAAATCTTGATTACACGAAGAGGGATGCTTATAATTTCATACAAAGAGAGAGAAATAGTATAATTGAAAATGGGGACGCTAATTCTCTACTTAGATTGTTCACTGAGAGGCAACCAGAGGATACGATGTTTGCATGGGACATCCAAATTGATGAGTCTGGTAGTTTATTGAATTTCTTTTGGAGTGATCAGATTCTTGTATGATTGTTTTGGGGATGTCATAATTTTTGACACAAGTTATAGATTAAATAAATACAATTTATGTTGTGCTCCTATTGTTGGTGTGAACCACCACTGGCAGAACGTTCTATTTGGAGTTGGCTTTTTGTCAGACGAAACAGTTGAATCATTCAAGTGGCTATTAAAATCATTTATT